ATCTCTCAGAGAAGCCACCACCCATTCTGCTCTGGTCTTTTTAGCTGGTTTGTTTATTATAACTGGAAGAAAGTCTGTATGTTCAAACACCCTCACTGTTACTCAGACGTCTTCTTTATGGTTTGCACTTGGTTCCTGTTACAGCCTAAACTGGACTGACAACTACCACTGTCTCTGCAGAGGGCCGATCACATAGACAGGCATCAGCTAAGGACCTGAAACCGCATCAGTATATCAGGCAAGATGTGTATTTCTAGCACCCCTGCTCCCTCAGCACTTTCAGGTTCCTAAAATACCAGAGCCTTTTCTCCCACATAAAGTATCAGAGGACTGGATTAGCAGATTTTAAAGGCTAGGGAGGCATAATCTTCTACAGAACACCTACTTCAGAGTTTCCCCCAGCACATCTTGAGGAAACAGATGTAGTTCACCCTCGAAAAAAATAGCTACGGAGAGGCTCAATGAAAATGTACTATTTGCTACAGAAACCTGATGGAAAAGACATTTGCTGTGCTGAGAAAACAGAGTGAGACACTGAAGTCAAGCATGATACGTAATAAATATATTTTTAATATCAAACATTATGTGAAAATAATAGCTACCAGAACACCCTTTAATTGTGTTTTGCTTTTCAGGACTGGATTGATGGAAAGGAAAACTCATTTCCTATTGTTGTCCCAAAGCTATGGCCATAAAAATAAAGTTTACTGCAAAATATTCTATTCCTATTTCTCTTATGGGTTCAGGTTGTGTCATTAAACTTACCTGTATGCAATACATAAATACATTCTTTACAGTAAGATACTTTCAGTTCTCTTTCTTAAGACATCTTCCCACTCTCCACCTAACATCACTGCATAGATAGGGCCAGATTTGGCTATCTCCTGGGACAGCTGCAAGATTTAACACTGGAGACTCTTCAAAGAGGAGGTGATGAGTAGTCTCTGTGCTGCCAAAACCTCCAATGTTTGTTCTTTAAGAAAAATGGATTTGAAAGCAGTCATGACTTGAAAGATGAAACACCTCCCTTCTGCTCCTTCACTTTCACTTCTACTTATCTAGCCAAGTCCTGAATCCCAGGATGGCAGAGCACACCATCTCAGCACACCTCATACCTGGGCAGCATGAACTGCCTGTGTGAAAAGGTTCTTCCAAATCTCTGGTCTGAACCTGCCAAGCCACACTCCATGATTCTCACCCCTCTTGTCATCTACCCCAAGCAGGAAGAGCTTGGCTCCATCCCACAATACCTTCAGGAAGTTGGGATGGGTTTACACACTAACTGATACTAATGAAGGTGGATGAACCTTAAAGGGATTCATCTATTAACTGAAAACAAACCTTATTCTTTACAGGATAAATGCATTCTAACTCTTTTTGGTGTTGCGGTTTGTTTTTTTTTTTCTCCAGTACAGCATGTTGAAGATGTCCCTGCTCTAAGGACACCTTTCACTATTACAGAAGTATTCAAAGAACCACCACATACCACCCCCCACCCATCCAAACCTTTGCAAAAGCTTCCAGATAGAGCTACAACTTTAAGGATTTCTATCATCATCCACTTTCAAGCAGTCCTACTCTACCCTCTTCTCCAGCTTGACAAAGGAGGATTTCAGCTTGCCCAGCAGCACTGTTTCCACATGAAGTGGAAAACTCACATGCAGCAGCACCTCGACAACAGGAAATAATGAGGTAAACCAAATCATATCTGGTCAGAACAGCAGTGAAGTTTCTAACTTACACGTGCAGATTTGCATGGCTTGAGCACTTTGGACAAATAGCCATGTGTTAGGTTGTTACCTAGACCGTGTGTTAACATCCTGGGCTGTCTATTTGTTATTTATCAAAGTGCAGTGCTCAGAATTTGAGGGCTCAAAATTTGAGGGCACATGCGTAAGTTTTCAGAAGAGAAGGAGATCCCAAGAAAAGCAAAATCAGAGCAGACCTGGTTAGCTTTTGCCAGCACTGGTTGGTTTTCCTGAGAGTCATTTGGTATGTGGGTTTGGCATCCTCAAAGCTGGGTGCAATCATTTAACTGGGTAATTCTAGTGATTCAAATGCATTCCAGGTGAACTCTATATCAGAGTAGCTTGTGCAGTTCTTTAGCTCATAAGAGTGATCTCAGCACATAATTCTCTTGATGATAATATAAACTAACTTCCTACACACATATATGCCCTAACCAGCACATGTTTGAAAGCGTCTTATATATAGCAATGAACAAAACTATACCTTACATTATATAGCTCTTTGCACAGCTTTTGGCTCTAATATGCTACAAATTCATGAGAAGTGTGGAAGAACAGCCAGACCAAGTCGGTCCATCTAGCATAGAGTCCTGTATCCAGCTATGTCTAAAAGCAAGAGGCCTATGGAAGAACAAGGCAAGCACAAAGTGTTATTTTGCTGACATATTTCTCCATTCATATTTGCCATTTCTCTAACTCTCAGCATTTCCAACATTCCCAACAGTAAAATCAACAGATTAATCACACACTTCATGAAAGCATACCTCCATGCTCTTTTCATTGCTCTGAATAGTTCAGTATGATTAGCAAACTTTATCATCTTGCTATTAATCTCTTGCAGATTATTTCCCTGATCAACTATGAATATGTTGAAAACCACTGGCCTCAGCAGAAGCACTTGCGGAGTTTTCTCCACCAGGAGGATAAAAGTATTTACACCTTCTCCCTGTTGACTACCTTTTAATTAGATAGTAATGCTCAGGCACCATTCAGGCCCCTCAGACCTGGGCAACTTACTTTCTTTGTGAACCTTTGGTGAGAAATCTTAGTAAAAAGTCTTTTGCAAGTCCAGGTAGATGATGTGAACTGGATTACCCTACCCGCATGTCCAGTGACATCTTCAAAGAGCTCCAGCAGCTCTGAGACAGCACTTATTGCTGCCTTCCCATAAACATCCTGTTTATTTTAATCCAATCTGCCTGTGTGCCATTAATTGCATTTTTTCCAGTAAGTCCACCAAATTTAGTCAGATGTAATTATTTATTTAGACAAAGGCATTGCCACAACCTTGCTAACAATGAAGTCAATTGTTTAGTGCAGATAGTAATCAATGAGTCACCTTTTTTTGCTCTTTCTAAAAAAAAAAAAAAAAGTTGCTTTGTACACAGAGGTAGCATAAACAGGAGTAATGTGGAAAAATGCTGACAGGATTCTGGAGCATGAAACACATGGGGCTGGAAAAATGACTGTATTCTTCAAGACAGACACTTCCCTAGGATCAGAATCCATGGCATGCTTTTGTAGTAATAACAATAACTATAATAATAACAAAAATACTTATTTTCCTTAGATACCTATTCTGCTTTGGTTCAAAACTGAAGCCTACACAGCTCTTTAGCTAAAGAAAACCTGTTCTGTGCAGACTTGATGGATTTGACAACATCCTGTTTATCTCAAACAGGACTTCAGAGTGTCACTGGATAAAGAAGATTTAAGAGCACTTCTTCAACATCTTGCTATCCAATGGTAGAAACTGTATTTGAATATCCTAAGCTTCTTTGACAGTTGTGGCTTTTAAATAGCCAAGATCACATAAATAACTGCTATAAAAATAAACAGTCTAATGCTCTGATCATGAACACAGCTCTTAGTGCTATGATTACTATACACTGCCTGACAAGTTGTTAGGACTTGCCTCTTGCTTGTTATTGATTATTTCTCAACTGCAAGACAAAATCCCTCACTGGCTTCCCTAGTCTGCACAGACAGGTCTCCAGCTCTCAGCAGACTTTGCTCACCACAAAGCTCAAGTGAAAGGTCACGAATCCTGACTAATTGCAGTCAAAGCTTGGACTCGGCAACCTGAGACCTAACCCTGTTCCCTGCCAATCCCCCGAAACATTCCTGTGGACTTCAGTCGTGTCTGGAGAAGTCCATAACTTCTCAGACTTGACTCTGGTTCAGTTTTGTTTCCAAGTACGGTTACGGCATTGCTGTAGGCTTATATAAAATGTGTGTCTCTCTCCTGACTATTACTTCTTCCTCAATCTTTTTTTTTTTCCCTAAAGCAGGGGAGTCTCTTCCCCTCTCTTTCCTGACCTGCAAGCAAAGCATTTCACTGAAAGCATCTCCATCAAACAGCAAAACCCCTGGCACAAGATTAAATAACTTGCGTCAGCACTTCCATCTCTAAAAATGTGCTAAAAATGCTGAGAAAAAAAGGAAACAGAAGTGATGTGTAAAGTTCACCTTTAGCCTCATTTATCCCGAAATTGAATAACTACATCCAGGCAAAACAATAGGCATTTTCTTAGGATCACCAGTCACAAGGGACAGAACACAGACTTCACCTCTGGTCTAGTTGATGAGGTTTTGATGAGAAGAAAGTGAAATGAGACACACACACACAAGTTGCTAACAAGAAGTATCTGACAAAGGAGAGCAGTATTTCAGGACAGTCAGCAAAACTACACGTTGAGAAACAGAAAAAGATAGTTTGCTATGTTCTGAGGATTGGCTGTTTTTAATCTTCCATGTGATAACTTTGCAGGCAGTTTTACTCCTACCATGTCATAAACTAGTATTTTATCATCTGAAAAATTCCATGGTCCATGTTGGTACTCAATTTGAGCATGCATTACATGGTGTGTGAATACTTCCAGGCACGGTGACTCCACCACTGCCCTGGGCAGCCTGTTCCAATGCCTGACCACCCTTTCAGAGAAGACACTGTTCATAATCTCCAGTCTAAACCTCTCCTGGTGCAGCTTGAGACCATTTCCTCTTGGTCTGTCATTTGTTACTTGAGAGCAGATACCAGCACCCTCCTGGCTCCATCCTCCTTTCAGGTACTTGTAGAGAGTGATAAAGTCCCTCCCCAAGACCTTTCTGCACTAAAGGTGGTATCACTGGTGTCATCCTTCTAGTCAAGATACAAAATGTTTGTATTTTGATTTTTCACTGCCATCTTACATAAAATAAATGGCATACTACCACAGTAAAGGAAAAGAAAAAAGAAGTTCACCTACTCACCTAGAGAGCAATAATTTACCCTGAAGTTTCAAATCAGCAGCACAGTCATCAGATTGACAGTTCCTCTCGAAAACAGTCTGTAAAAAGAGAAAAGAACTATTATAGCTTGAAAAGAATATGATCAGAATTCAGAGAAGGAACATGTCTGGATGAAATAAAAGAAACACACCAAAACCTGTGATACAGGAATATATGATGTGAGTGTTCAGGAAATTCAAGGGCAGACAAATCTCATCTTTATCAGAAGCGGTTTTATTCTCTTTTAACTGAACAAGACGTCTCACCAGAACCAGACTTTCCCAGAGGTTTTCCTCAATCCATTCCCACTTCTCATCTGACAAGAATTACTGCTTACACAGTATTTCTGGCACTCTCATTTCTCTTCTCAATGCATGTGTATGAAAATGAAACAACAAATAAGATATTTATGAAACTATTTTTAGTCCTAAGAATTGAAAGTAAGGAAATCATGTACCAAACTTATTCACTAGCCTGTATTAAAGATAGAGAATTAAACTTTGTTTCTTTTTATATAAAATCCCAGACTGGTTTGTGTTGGAAGGGACCTTAAAGCTCACCCAGTTCCAACCCCCTGCCATGGGCAGGGACACCTTCCACTAGAGCAGGTTGCTCCAAGCCACTGTGTCCAACCTGGCCTTGAAAACTGCCAGGGATGGGGCAGCCATAGCTTCTCTGGGCACCCTGTACCAGTGCCTCAGCACCCTCACAAGGAAGAACTTCTGTGTGGTAGGAAACATTTTTGCCATTTTGTAAGCAACAGAAAATTGCAAAGATATTATGTACCAGTGAAACCGTCAAACAATAGAATCACTGTCAATCTTGTGAACTCTGGTAAAGACTATCATTGAGGGAGTTCAACAGATTGACAAAGCTGGGAACTGTAAAAGGATGACATGACCCCTGGACATGGGCATGCTAATTAAGCAGCAAAAAGAAGGAATACGTGAGAAGTCTATCATCCCACGAAAACCTCTGCAGTAGTTTGTCATAGCTGAAAGAGGCAGCCACCAGTGAGTGAAGGAAGAGGACAGGAACATGTTCCTGAAATCCAAGAAACCCAGATGCTGTCAAGATCATGGTTTCTTTCTCCTGCTCATAATAACAGAGATCAATACCTTCTGAACACATGACTAGAATTTTCAGACTCATTCTGAGTTGTAATCTCCAGTTTACCAAACATTCGAAGAACAAATACCCAAAACGGGGGTTGCCAACACTGTTCAGCTAGGAAACCTGACTATACACTGATCTCTTCCTTCACTATGAATATTCCTTTCTTTGAGCTTGGTTTCATCACTCTTACTACCAAAGTAAATATATTTCTAACATAAATGCAAGTACAGAGCAAATGTGTGCAGGACACGCATCATGGTCAGTAGGGTTGGACAGACCTGGGGGGGGGGGAAGAATAAAAAAAGATACAGAGTTAATACATTTCTTAAGAGCTCTGCCCAGCCATATCAGAACTAGAGAAAGACTTTAAATCTTAAGCCCAGGCATAGAGATTCCTAGTCCTTGCCTCTTCAGAAAGATTCTGGGCTAAGGAGGCAGATTACTCACCTTTTTCTGTATTGTCAGAGCTCTCCAGAAAGGAGCAGACCCTTACGGGGTTAACTGGTATTGGCTTAGCAGGTATGCTGTAGGTTGTACTGACTTGCAACAAGAAAGATGGGAGGTTGCCATTTGGGGTTAATTTGTTTTGCCCTTTCATGTTCCCACCTTTTGCTGTCTCAGAATTTGAGAAGTGGAAATTGTTGAGGATTTAAACACAAGGGCCGAACTTACACTTCCTCCCTAATAAAGGCTACCACACCAAAGGACAAGAATAGCCTTGACACAGGAACCAGCATGAGGTATTTCTCTCAAAACATGGCATGTTTCAGATGTATTAGTCTTGAAAGCCCTCAGAATTAATTCTCAGCCACCATAGTATCTATATCTAGGAAATACTGTTTGACCTTCAGAAGAGAAAGAAAAATAAACTGTAAAAATATTCTTGCCTGCCAGTTTCCCTATTTGCATTGCCAAAATCTTGGCAAAGTGAACAGAACGATCAAAGAGATGACCTGCACGTTTCAAAGAATAAAGTACTGTAAGTACGTTTAAGTAACTACCTAAGAATGCTGGAATTTCGTTACTAAATCTACAGTTGCAGTTCTTCAGAAAGAATTAATAAATATCTCATTTTCTAAAACTACTGAGGATGTATCACTTCCAACACATCATGCGCTAGGCAGAAGCTACTTTGAAATACTTCGGGAGTATTTCATTATGTCATAGAAACCCAAGTTTCTACACAGCACTGGGATGGGAGAAAGAAATAAGGATTAGGAGTCCCCCAGATCCATAACTGCGTAGGAAAGAACCCTTTGCTTTTCTGGAGAATCTTGAACCTGAACTCATTCAAGTCTGGAAGGAAAAAAGGACTCCCAGCCCAGCCAGCTGAAGGAGCCACCAATGCAGCCACAGTTGGTTCAGCAGCCCACTTCAGTCATAGACTAATGATATCTATGCATGATTTTGCTATTTTCCACTGTTTCTACAGTCCAGATAGATGTTATCATGACTCTGCTCCACCTCCCTTTGCCTGCCACAGCCTCAACCCTGTAGCTTCTCACAGTCAGTGTCCCTCCAATTTATTCTCTGCTCTCTCATGCCTCCCCTTCCCCAGCCTGTTGTTTCTTCTGCCTTTCCAGTTGAATAATTCCTGCCTGTTCAAATCCTTCCTAAAGAATTAAGGAGTAAACAGACTTGAAGTCATCATAACATTTCCTAACTCTGCTTATATATTCTGTTACTGTGCCCTTACTTGGTCTACTTGAGGGCTGTGATTTCTTCGGCTAGAAAATCTACCTAACCCAACACTGCATGTCATTAATGCAGGAGTCCATTCCTGGGATATTCACAGGCCCACAGGCACAGGCTGTAGTATAATCACTAATTTTAAGTCTAAGCAATCTTTAAAGTGGTTTCAGTTTTACAACACCAGTTTTAGGGATTTAGAGAGCTCTTTACATATTAGAAGTGTTGAATGAGGTAATCAATGGGCTGCATGTATTATCCAGAACTAGTAAAAGGGAAGTAGGGCAAAATAAATTCGTTGCACCGTGGAAAAACATCAAGTCAAAAAGCCTACATTAAGATATACTCACTATAATGAGTGAATATACACGTCTGCTCACAACTGAATATACAGTAAGGACAGATGTAGAGCCAGCTGATAAGGAAGGGGATATGTCTAGATCTGGGCCTCAAAGCAAGTGCTTTTGTGTCCACTCTGCCTCTTGAAGAGAGGGAGTGGATTAAATTCCACGTTCTGTGGTAAAGGCCAGGGGGAAATGTAGAGTCCCCTGCCTCAGAAAGTAGTAGTAGGAGGAACGCTTAGTTCCTGTATCCTAAGGCATTCTAAGCACAAAGCTGCTGAGTACTGGGTGTGAAGACATTCTCCTTTTCCTTCTTGCTCATGGAGGACTGCTAAGGAATGCTGCTAGGAGGTAAAACAAGCAAGAAGGAGCCTGGCTTCTGCCTAATGGTCAAAGCTCTCTGCCCAGAGGAAGGTCATATGGGATTTCAAACCTAGCTCGCTAAATTGCTTCACCTTTTTTCAATGGCTATATGCGATTAAATACATCTATGTTTCTGGGAGTAGGAAAGAGAACAGGAAAGAGAGAAAACACAGAAAATAGTGGAAATCATCCAACAAACAAAAAAAGAAAGAAAAAATGTCCCTTCCCAGCTCAACTATTCTGCGATTCACTCTGCATCAGGCCTTTAACTACTTCCTCACACACCAGTCTATAAAAGTTCCTCTAACTTTACAAACTGTCATGTACTTCAACACGAAAAAATCAGGTTATGGAAAATAATCTGGGTTAAGAATATAATATTCCAATCTCTACACTGATTTCCTGTAAATTGTCACCATACCCTGTGGTATGTACAGGGATGGCTTGGTAATTACATCGTGCTAGTAACACAGAAGCTATTCTAGTTAAAGAATGCAGGATAAGGGGACTTGTTAGCCTAATAATTCTTTATTTTTTAGAACTTGATGCTAAATGGCTATTACCATGTTACCTGGTGAAGTTGAGTTCCTGGGTCCTTACTTAGGAACCAAGATATGTGATCCAATTTTGAAAAGTGCTGATCTGTAAGCAAATCTCACTGCCTTTTTTAGGAACTATTTCCTGGTTCATAGCTTTACAAATCGCTTAGCCTAAATATAGATACAGGAGCCTGATTTTAGAGCTTTATTTATTTTGTCCTTAGATTTTAAAGTTGCCTGCAAAATGAAGCTATTACCTACCAATCTATTCACCACAGAAAAAGAAGTCATGATTGACTCTGCCCAGAAATCCTATGCTCCACTATACTACTCATAGAAACGGTCCATTCATATATCCTGCTGAGCTAAATGCCAAATGGTTGATTAAAATTCCCACTAGAAAAGCAAATTATGGAAAACTTTACAAGATTTCATCAGATGTGCTGGCTATGAGGAGGACACATGATTTACACAATACCTCTACTGAGTGGTGGAGCAAACAGAGAGAAAGGCAGGAATATCAGGGGAGTGAGAAACATTTAACAGAATCTTACTTTGAAACCAAAGAACTGTGCTGGTACTGCCTGGTGCAGGGGACCAAGTTTAGCTAGCAAGCTCCTTCAGCTCCATGTAGACTCCATCAGAGAATGTCTTCATGGAAAGAAAAGAGATGCTTGTTTATAGTGCACTAGTGTAAGAAAACAGAAACTGCCCAGTAATAATTATTTTAGTACACTGGTAAGGTTGCAACCATTTAAGTCAAACTTTTCCAGCTGGGGAATGCTACAGGGGAATTAATCCCCTTTATTGAGTGGAAGACTTGCAACCTATGGCTCACGACTAGCACCTTGCCATTTGTCAAGCCACCTAAGGCCAAATGCAATAATTCCTCCCCTATTCCATCTGCATCCTGCTTTCAATAAGTTAAAAACTGGGCCAGAGCACCAAGCTAAAAAGAAGACACTCAAATATAAGAGGAACAGGAACTCCCAAATGAAATCAGCTGTTTAG